TTGCTGGTGCATGTTAAGAGATGATAGTTGCTTTCTGTTGTAGCTTGACATCTCATGCATATTGGGTTGGGATACTTTCCTGGATTCTGAGTATGTTGAACTTCTCTGGTTGGTAGTTCTTCTAATAGGATTTTTAGTTTAAATGCTTTAATCCTTGAGTATTTGCGGTTAGTTTGCCATGTCATTGGTTCGCAGTTGTAATTTATATAACTATAGAATGCTTGCCAATCTGTATTTTATTTTATGGGATCCCAGCATTGGAGTCTTGATTGTGATTGCCAGTGTGCTATATGTGATGCATTGTGGATATGTTGTATAAAATGCCGAGTATTATGTTCGATAGGAGTGTAGTGCCATGCAAGTTGTTGTATATCATATCGTATTTCTATGTGATCAATTTCTCCACTAAGTTTGTAGCTATTTTGTTTGGCTGTAATGGATATATTGCTGTTGTATTCGAAAATGTATTTATTTCCATTTCTTGTTGTGAGTGCCTTTCAGGATAACCAGCTCAGCCAGTTTGTTGTATTATATATTTCATGTATCATGTGGGCGGAGCTGTTTGAACTTTGTCTGCCTGCATATTAAAGTAGTCTTTGTTCGTCACAATTTTAGCTTTAGCTTTTTTAGGTATTATTAAGGTTGTATATATAAGAGCGGTTATTAAATTTTTCATAGTGGTTGGCCATTCTTGTGTTGAGATTTGCATCTGATAGTCAATAGCTGCTGCCTGGCATATGACTACCTCTTGTTGAGTACTATCTGTTGTCTGATGATAGGGTAGTAAATAGAAGGTGATCTCTTTTAGGCTTCGGAGCTCATGTTTTATCTTTTCTATTGTGTTGTTAGTATTCTCATTTTTTGCTATTTTTGTTGCTGTGTTTGATAGTTGCGGAATTCTTTCTTTATTCTGTCTTGTTGTTAACTGCAGTTGTTTTATGTCTAGCAGGTTAATTCTTGTTCTCTTTTTGCTGTCTACTTTTATGTACCGGAGGTGTGCTATGTCTATTTGTTTTGTGTATTTTACCTTTCCCAGCGTTGGGTTATTTTGATAGCATCCTAGACAGGGCTTCAATTGGTTTGTATTATCTTTGAAGATCCAGTGATTTAGGGTTGCCCGTTGTGATTTCACAGATGATATTTTGCCTATGAAGTTTTTGTTCGTTGATATTTCTATTGCTCAGTTTATTTTACTACATAATGTTTTATTGTATATCCAGGGGTTGGGTGTTATTAGCTTGTTGTTGGTATTATGTATTTTTGTGTTATCTCTTCTCTCAATATCTTGTACCATTTAGGTTCTTTGTCCCTAGGTATTTGATTTATCATATGTGGTAGATATTTTCATTCTATCGCCTCGGAATTGTTGTAAGATGTGCATTGTTCTATGTACTTTACGTTTAACTTATTTAGCTTGGTTTTTAAACCGTTTGGTTTTGTGAAGTTTTTGAGCAGCATATTGATTGATGTTCTTTCTTCGTCCAATGGTTTCAGCCATTTATTGTTGTGGTTGTTGTAAAACATTATATATTTGTTGTTGATGCTGTAGCATTTTTGCCATGGAAGTATTATATTCACTTTGTGGTAGAGTATAGTCATGGTGCTCAAGAATTGATTTGTTGGTCATTGCTGCGTTTGTATTTGTTGTAACCGGATCTTTAATGTCGACTGATCAAAGTTTCTATGATTAAGTTGTTTGTGGATTATTGCGATGTGTTGTTGTACTTAAGTATTGGATACGGTTCTGAGACCATAAATTTAGTGATGGTAGAGTGTTGAGTTTGGGATAGTTTGTGCCATCCCAGCCTTGTGCTTTATTATTGTTGTGTATTGGCTAGTAATTTTATCACATAATGCTGTAGGTAGCATGATGTTTTGGACTCGATAAGCTAATCTTGTTAGGATAACTGTATTCACTATATATATCGCTTGCTTATCAGTTATCTTTGCCCGTTCTATTCTTCTAATTGCATTTGTTGCTTCTTCTTGAATAATTTTGATAGTTGGTTTTTGATTCTTTGTAATTGTGTACCAACATCCCAGGATGCGGAAGCTCTTCTTTGGGTTCTGTACTTTGATTACTGAGTTGTTAAAGATAATGCTTGGCTGTTGGAGTTGTGTATTAGTTACTGCTAAAACTAATTTTTGTGGATTAACTCTTATATTTGTTAGTGCAAAGAAAAATGAAGCTATGTTGAATATTTCTCGTAGTTCTTCTTGTGACTGGGCCAACTAGACAGTATCATCCATATATGCGATTGCAGGCCGGTTTATTGTTAGTTGCTTTTCACTATTATTTTCTCTATAAGTAACATGCATTGTATACCCAGTTAATTTCTTATATATAGTTGTTAGTAGCAGATCATAATAAATGCGCTATAATAATGGTGCAATTGTTTCTCCTTGATCTATCTTGTCGTATACTGGGTAGGTATCAGTATTGCCTAGATTTGTAATAACAGAATTGTATCGATTAGTAAATATATTTGTTATGAGGGAGGCTATCTTATCCGGGACTTTTATTCTTGCTAATGCTTTTTTTAGTAAGGAGATATGAATAGAATCATAAGCTTTAGACATATCCTGGCTGAGTAACCATAGCTCTTTTTTGTGTATATGGGCATCTTCAATTATATATGTGATTGTTGAGATAGGTAATTTAGTGGAAGTGTTGGGTAGAGCTACGTGGTTGCTTTCATACAAGACAGGGTATCTATTTAGTTTTTGGTTTAGTCGTTTTGTCAAAATTTTGGTGAATATCTTCCTTGTGTGTTCAATTAAAGTAATTGGCCGAGTCTCATTTAGTTGCTCTGAGAATCGCTGCTTTTTAGATATCGGGTATATGTTTCCTTTTTTCCAAGATTTAGGAATAGTTTGTAGATTTATACAGCCATTGAAAATAGCCAGTATTTTGTTTTTTGTGTGTAGGTCTATGTGTTTTAGCATTTTGTTAGATATCGATTGAGGGCCTGTTGCTTTTTTCAGAGGGGCCTCCTTGATACCTTCTTCTAGTTCCTGTATTGTTATTGGATCTTCTATGCCTTGGTACCATGCTTCGTCTATTGTCTTTGCTGGGTAATAGGCTTCCTGCCAGTCTATCCACTTACTTTGATCTGTAGGGTTTTTCTTTGTCTATTTTTCAAAATGATTTTTTATTTTGTCTTTAATTTCTTTAGGTTCGGTAATAATATGATCAGGATAGATAATATTGTTAAATATTACTGGGTCTGTGTGGTATTAGAGGATGCTATTGATCATTTTTGTGGTATTGTTAGTGAAATTATTATATCTGTTTTCTATGTGCTTATCAATGTTTTGCTTATATGCAATGTTATTTTCTATTTTCCGAGCATTGTAAATTTCTTTTTGATGCTGTTTTAATGTTGTAGTATGTTGTAGTATTTCTGTTTGTAAAGTATTTTCATCTAGTTTTATCGAAATGTTTGATTGGCTGAGTTTGTTTATTGTTTGTAATTCATCGTTAATTTTCTTAATTTGGTGTGTTTGTATTAAGGATGCTTGTAGTTGCTTAATCACAGCGTTAATTTTTTGTAGAGCTTTATGTAATTTAGTCACTTTTTGTGAGAAAGCATAAAAAGTTTTGGGCACTATTTTTGTCCTTAGAATATTTGTGTCAGCAGCTTTTTTGATTGTCTGCTCAACTTTGTTCCAGTATTTATTGAGTTGTTCTTCAGTTTCAATCTCTATTGGTAGTGTACTTTCTTGCTGACTTAACAATAAATCTACACTAATAGCAAATTCATCTCATTTTTCTTTTGTCATTTCCTTATATAGGTATATGGTTCTTTTCCTCTTTTTTGTACGATACTGTTGGATGTGTATGTTTGGTTGCCATTCTACTGTTATTATTTTATGATCGCTATTCGTAATTAATTCAGCATTGATTAATTTAGGCTTTGTGATGGTTGATATCAAATCTTGTGATATATATATATCATTTATCTGGCTGTTAAGCTGATTACGGGACCATGTTGCTGTTGGTATATCAAAGTATTGGAGTAGACTTGTGATTCCATTTGGTTTCATTATATTGAAAATGGACATTGATTTATTATGTTTCTTTTTATCATAATTGAAGTCACCTATTACTATTAATTTGTAGTTGCGGGTTATTGCGTATTGAATCCAATTTACTATTTTTTGTTGTGTTTGTTTGTTGATATCCGTGTTGTTGGTTGGGAGGTAGACCGATATTACTCTTATTTTTTGATTTTGAGGAAAGAAGAAATCGATAAGTATTGCTGTTCCGGGTGTAGTCTGTATATTGTGTATGTATGGTTGTAATGTCTTTATTATTGCTAGGCCAGTTCCCATGCTAGATTCTTGTTTTTTTGCAACAGTTTCATTGCTATTTGCAGTATAGATATTGAAATAAGAATTGCTTAGGTACTGTCTGTGATTGCTAGATTCTGCTATTTTAGTTTCTGTCATACTAGCTATGTGCAGGTTGTTGTTGTAGCAGTATTCTAACCATGTTTGATATTTGAGCATATCATTGAGTCCTTGTGTATTATGTGTTGCGATATGTATACTTTTTACTAGGTTTCTATTCATTGTTAATTGTTGGTTATGGAAGAATATTCCAGGTTGCCTCTGGTAGTGCTGGTAGATTGAAGATGTATTGTGGTATTGTAGTAAAAGAGAAAATTTCATGTAAGCTTTTTAGTATGGGTTTTATATCTTCGTACTTGGTAATAGGTATTTTAACTTGGTCTTGTGTTGAGTCGATTGATTCTAAATATTTCTGAGTTGCTTCTAATGTTTCGGGTATTGTTATTTTTGTCTTTTCTTTACTTTCTGGTGTTGGTATAGCTGTATAATCTTTATTTTTCCGTATTTCAATCCATGAGTCTGGTATTCTGTTAAAGAAATAATAGGGTCGCAAAAGTTTGGCTATATATACTAATTGTCTTGCTGAAGTAATTGGAGTAGTCAAATTGAAATCTTTAATTTGACGGAGTCCTGTGATAAATCTGGTTTTTCTGTAGGATTTATGATCATATAATATGGTAGTAAGGGTATTGAGAAAGCATATCTTGTTGAAATTTGTTTAATAAAATCTTTTGCAATCTCAGATTCTTTTATTGGGAATGAGAATTTTGTGTATGTTCTTATTTGTTTTGGGTCCTTTGGTAGTCTAGGTTTTGCTTTAAAGTAGTCATTCGGGATATATTTAAAATGATAGCACTCTTTTAGCATGTCGCTAATTTCTTTTAATGTTCTATTTGTTGTAGTCATATCTATCGGAAATAGTATTCTCAACTTGGGATTGAGTTCTTGTGGTGTATTGAGTAGAGGCTGCTTTTTCTCAGGTAGATTGAAATAGTTATCTGGTAACTTTCCTTTCCAAGTATAGTATTCAGCTAGATGCTGTTTGTAGTATTGTAAGTTTAGGAGGCTTTTGCGCTCTGTGATTAGAAAAAGGTCTTTTACTACTAGCTCTAATTTGTTTGGGTTATTTGGTAGGGGCTCTAGCTGTATGAAATATGTGTCAGGTAGTTGAGAGAAGGTATATATTTGTCTTAGTGCTGCTAAGATTGCTCTTAGTCTATTCCAGTTCCTTATTAGTAATGAAAATGAAAGAGACTCCAGAATTTCTCGTAGGATTTCTTCAGGTGTCTTAGGTAATGGCAGTAGGGTGTTATTTATTGTCGTGTCTATAATTTTCTTCATGTCATCTCTATTAAGCTCATTTTTTATATGCATGAACTCTAGACAGTATTTAACTAGTTTGCTAATCTCTTGTGGTTTTTTTGTGAGTTTGTAGTTAGTTAGGTATTGTATTGCTAGTTTTTGTCTAAGTTTTTGCTATATTTGATTTCTAATCTCTTTATTTATCATTATGATATTGTGTTTATTTTTGTAATTTTCTATTGCTGTAGCTTGCAGTTGTTTGAATTCGATTTGATGCATAGGTTTGTATTTCCTTTCTCTTGTAAAGGTTCGGAAAAAGTTGAAATCAAGATATTTGAATTTAAGAGTGATTGCTGAAGGAAGCTCGTGTTGAGTGGGTAATGTTTGAAGTTTGTGTGTAATTAATTCGATCATTTGGTCTTTGTCCTGTAGCACCTTTATAATTCTGTCGTAACTCCATTTTTCAGTATTGAATTGTGTATTTATTTGTTGCGTCATCTGTTGTTGTATTTGTTCTGTCCACTCCATCTCATTTTCCTTTGGTGCTTGCTGATATGTTGTTTGTGGTAAAGATTTTTTGAGTATGCTGCTATATGATGGTTGTGCATTACTTTCTACGATTTTGCTCGAATTAAGTGTATCTACTTGTTGGTTATTTGTTTTATCTATTTCCATTGTGGTGTCTAGTTGATGAGTGTTGGGTTGGTATATTTGCATAACAATATTTATGGGAAAGTTGTTTTGAAATACTGTGGAAACTTCTGGTATGTTGATGAGTTGGCTATAGTATTGGGTGCTATGTTTTCTTCTTTTATGATGGTTGTCTTCCTGCTTTTCGTCGTTATCCTCCTTTGCTAGTGGAGTTGCGGACATCTTTTGCACCTCTAGAGTATGCTCTCTAGGGTAGTATATTCGTAAGGTTGCTTGAGTTGTGTTACTTTTTGTTGAAGTTTCTCCTTTTCTTTTAATGTTTACTTAGGTTTGAAGTGTCTTGGAGTATTTATTTGTATTGAAATATTTAGTAGTTTGGTATTTTATTGTGACCTTTCTTTACTCTTTTTCGGTATTTTGTTGTTTTGATAGATTTTAGTGATGTACAGGAAAGAGTTTTTACATTTAATTATTTTAAAATATTTTAAATTTATTTAATCACATTAATGTGAGTTATTTTTAATATTTTATCATAATAATCTTC